CCCCAAAACCCCAAAACCCCAAAACCCCTGACTAATAAATTGATTGCTAGAATTCGATATAATATATTATAGAATTAGATAAAAATGGAAGTAGAAAGCTCAAGGAGATCAGGTGGCGCTCATAGGTCAATAAATTACAGAGACTCTTCAAGGAATAGAGATAGAAACAGAAGAAATAGATCAAGTAGCAGAAGTAGTGATTCATCTTCTTCATCTAGGTCTTCATCTTCATCATCAAGCAGATCTTCAAATTCTTCAGACTAATCATCTTTGCTGTCTGATTTGTCAGAGGACTACAAGCAGTAGAAGCATTTGATTAGGATCACAAATTTGTCGAGGAATGTCAAAGAAGATACTTTGAGAGAAATCTGTTCTTGCTATGGAGAAGTGAAGAATATTGACTATATATGTTTCAAAGGTACAGTGAAGCTAAAGGGTGTAGCTTATGTCCAATATGATAAGGAAGAGGATGCAAAGAATGCTATTGAACATTTGGCGGCATTTGAGCCAAAAAGAAGTATGGATTAAAATTTGGATAGATAAATAAGCAGAGAAGATGACTAGAATAAAGAGCCTACTAGGGAAATCGACTTGAAGATGAAAGATGACGAAGATAAAAATGATAATGATGGAGATGATCAAAAAAAGAGTAGAAGGGAGAGACTTAGAGATAGAAATGAAAATCCAGAGTAAGAATAACCTAGAGCTACTTGGATTGATGGAAAAAAGATAGATGTAGTTTATGTAAATGAGAAATATGAAGAGGATAAAGAAGAAAAATCTAGAAATAATACTAATAAATATAGTAGAGACAATAGAAGCAGAGATTAAGTTTCAGGACACTAAAGTAGATACGGTGGAGGAGACAAAAATAGATATAAAGATCGTAAAAATGAGAGAGATTCTAGGAAAAAAGAAGGAAGTAGAGAGAGAAAGAGAAGGTCAGTTTCTAAATAATCAAATAATAATCATCGAAGAAATAGACACCACAAATCGAGATCTAATTCATCTGGCAGTTCCAAAAGTTCAAGATGATTATTAACTATTTCAAGTCTTAACTTCATAATTAATTTAATTAGATATTGAGAAGTAATTAATTTTTTTCAAATATAGACATCTTTTATTGCGGGGTTTTGGGGTTTTGGGGTTTTGGGGTTTTGGGG